CTTTGTTTCATTGATCCTTTGAATTGTTTTTTTTTTTTGGTCTCTATGTCATTTATTTCTGTTCTGATCTTTACTATTTCCTTCCTTCTACTTGCTCTGGGGTTTTCTTTTTGTTTGCTTTCTAATTCTTTAAGTTGTGAGGTTAGACAGTCAATTAGAAATTTTTCTTGTTTTTTTAGGTAGGCCTGTAATGCTATGAACTTCCCTCTCAGTACTGCTTTCGCTGCATCCCACAGATTTTGGGTTGTTGTGTGTTCATTTTCATTGGTTTCCAGGAAGTTTTTAATTTCTTCCTTGATCTCCTCGGTGACCCATTCATTGTTTAATAACATGCTATTTAGCCTCCATGTGTTGAAATGTCTTTGCATGTTCTTGTTGCAATTGATTTCTAGTTTCATGCCATTGTGATCTGAGAAGATGCTTGATATGATTTCAATCTTCTTGAACTTGTAGAGATTTAGTTTGTGTCCTATCATGTGGTCTATCTTTGAGAATGTCCCATGTGCACTTGAGAAGAATGTGTATTCTGTTATTTTGGGGTGTAATTCTCTGTAGATATCTATTAAATCCATTTGGTCTAGTGCTTCATTTAGAGTCTCTGTTTCCTTGCTAATTTTTTGCCTAGAGGATCTATCCAGTGCTGTCAACGGGGTGTTGAAGTCCCCTGCTATGATTGTATTGTTGTTGGTTTCTCCTTGGAAGTCCTCCAGAAGATTTTTAATATATTTTGGTACTCCTATATTGGGTGCATATATGTTTATCAAGGTTATATCTTCCTGTTGGATAGATTCTTTCAATATTATGTAGTGGCCTTCTTTGTTTCTAGTTATGGTCTTCATTTTGAAATCTATTTTATCAGATATGAGAATTGCTACCCCAGCTTTTTTTTCCTTTCCATTTGCTTGGAAAATTTTTTTCCATCCCTTCACTTTCAACCTATGTGAGTCTTTTGTTGTGAGGTGGGTCTCTTGTAAACAACATATAGATGAGTCATGCTTTCTTATCCAATCAGCTACTCTGTGTCGTTTTATGGGAGCATTCAATCCATTTACATTTAAGGTGATTATTGATATGTACTTATTTATTGCCATTTTTGTTTAGTGTGGTTCCATTTTTCTTCCCATTTCTACTGCTAATTACAGCAGTCCTTTGAACATTTCTTGCAGTGCTGGTTTGGTGCTAATGTATTCCCTTAGCCTTTTTTTGTCTGAGAAGCTCTTTATTTGACCTTCTATTTTAAATGATAGCCTAGCTGGGTAGAGTAGTCTTGGATTCAGATTTTTGTTTTTCATAACTTTGATTACTTCATGCCATTCCGTTCTGGCCTGTAGTGTTTCTTGTGAGAAGTCAGCTGAGAGCCTTATGGGGTTTCCTTTGTAGGTAACCTGTTGCTTATCTCTTGCTGCTTTTAGGATTCTCTCTTTGTCTTTAATTTTTGGTATTTTTATTACTATGTGTCTTGGTGTGGGCCTGTTTGGGTTCTTCTTACTTGGGGCTCTCTGTGCTTCTTGAACTTGAATGCCTTCTTCCTTCACTAAATTAGGGAAGTTTCCTGTCACTATTTTTTTGAATATAGTCTCTATCCCTTGATCATGTTCTTCTTTTTCGGGGACTCCTATGATGCGAATATTATTATGTTTCAGTTGTCCCACAGTTCTCTTAAGCTGTCTTCCTGTTTTTTAATAGTTTTTTCTTTTGTTTTTCTGATTGGTTGGTTTTTTCTACCCTGTCTTCTAATTCACTGATCTGGTCCTCAGCTTCCTCTACTCTGCTTTTTAAACCTTCCAATTTGTTTTTCATTTCTGATATGTCATTTTTGATCTCTTCTTGCTGGTTTTTAATTTCCAATTGGCTTATTTTCAGTGTCTCTATGTCCTTACTCATGCTGTTCAGCTTCCTCAAGATCATGGCTCTGAATTCTAGCTCTGTTAACATGCCTAATTGCTCCACATTGATCTCATCTTCAGTGGAGGTGTCTTGCTCTTTCATTTGGCTTCTGTTTCTGTGTTTCACCATTTTGGCTATCACTGTGGGCTTTGGAGCCTGTCAAGTTTTCCCTGTGGGTGTTGGTGTTCTGCTGTTTGTGGCTCCCTCTCCTATGTTTAGATGAGCGAGGGAGGACCCACGTTAAACACCACTGTCAAGTCTTACTTTCCTGGTTAAAGTTGCCAGCCCAGGAAAGGTACTGTTATCCTCTAGCTTTTTGCCTGAGGATAGCAGTCCAGGTTACTTGAAGAGTTTTGGGTTGTCAGTTGATTGAAAAACTCCCTCAGGTGCTCAGCACAAGGGGCTTTCACGAGGGTGGGGCAGATGCTGGTTGTTAATGAGCCCAATTAGCACTTCAATGGCCCACAGGGTGGGGTTGGATCTCCGAGCCAGGGGCTACTGCCTCTCCTCAGAGCCCTGGGAAGGAGCAATGTGGCCACCGTCCTGCGTGGCTGCACTCAGCCAAAGCTCTGAGTGCCCTCCAAACCCCGAGTGTCCCGACACAGTTCCAGTCCAGTCCGCCCTCCTCTGCCGGAGCCCAAGGTGAGTGGCTGTGGCTGTTTCAGCCTCTGTCCCGGCTGCGCTGTGGGGCCGCCTGGGAGTGTGACCCGCGGGCGCTGCTCCCCGCTGAGGCCGCTGCCGAGCTGCCGACCGTGCGTTCCCAGCCCCGTCTCGAGCCTTCGCAAGCCTCCCGGGATGGAGTCAGTGTCCCTCGTTGTATGGTCCTCGACAGCTGCTTTTCTGTTGCTTTTTCCCGTCGATTTGTCTGTTATAGTTGTAATTCCAGTTTGGTTCTGGGAGACGGTCTGTGTAGCTCCGTTCACTCCGCCGCCATTTTTCCAAAGTCCTTTTGTTCCTTTTGTAGTATTTCCTGGAATTGCTTTGGGCAAGCTTGGTGCTTCTGTATGCTTTCCTAAAGGAACCCCGCACTAACAGAATCAGCGGCAGCTATTTCTTTGAAGCAGAGAAGAGCTGGGGTAGGGGGAGAAGGGTGTTTTCGACGGGTGTGTATTCACATGCTCCTTTGTAAAGTTGTGAGGACAGGCCTTGAGAAGGACCTGTCTCCTGGCCCCCCTGTTCCTCCACTAGTCCTTTGCCTAAGACGTTCTACCCAGAAGGAAAGCTCCATTTGACTCCCTGCCATCTTTACTGGAACTGTCCTTCCAACGGGGAGGCCTGAGATGAAGTGGTTGATCATACTGGTTTCATTTCGTTTTTATCAGATAAACTACAGATTTATAATGAAACCACAAGCTGAAAATAAGTAGCCATAACCTGAGTATCATGGTCATTGACATTTATTATTTCTGGTATTTCAACAAAAGATGGAAAAATCAAGCTTCAAGAATCAGAATTTGACAATAGTAAGTAGTTTGATTTTTTTCTCCCTTGCTGTTTATAAATTATCCTATATAGCACAAGACACTGGAAACTTAAAATTTTCATTCTGAATCATATTTTTGGCAATTTCTACTGCCTTTCCCCTGCTAACGCCAGTTTAGCTTTCACTTACAAAGAGGCCGTGGGGGCAGTGTGCTGCCCCCAGCAAGAAGGCAGAGATCTCTGCGCAAACCACCAATGTTCATCGCCATGCATTTGTTTAGCAGTCCTGACTTAAAAAGTGTGTTTCCACACTGTGCTATCTGTCCACACTTGTAATAGAGTCCAAGTGGAAATTCTGTGTTCCTTTAATGTGAAGACTCTCTCATAGATGTTAAATAATTTGTGCAGGCTCCCTCTCAGAAACATCTAAGTATATATTTTTAACAGTTAAAAGATGTCTAACTCCACAGGTGTGACTCAGTGGCTGAGTGTCAACATGCACCATGATGTCACCAGTTCGATTCCCGGTCAGGGCACATGCCCAGGTTGTGGGCCCATCCCCGATGGGGGGGCACGCAGGAGACAGCCAGTCGGTGTTCTCTCACATTGATGTTTCTATCTCTCTCTCAATAAAGAAAATAAAATTAAAAAAATATTAGAAAAAAAGATTTCTATCTTTCTTCTTTTTCTTTTATCCTCACCTGAGGACATTTTTCCATTTTTCGTTTAGATAGAGTGGGAGGGAGGGAGAGGAAGAGAGAAACATTGACGTGAAAGGGACACATCGAGTGGCTGCCTCCCACATGGCCCTGACCCAACCAGGGCCAGGGACAAACTGCAACCGAGGTACATGCCCTTAGCGGGAACCGAACCCGGGTCTCTCTGGACTGCAGGTCGACGCTCCAACCACTGAGCAAACCCTCCAGGGCTCTTTCCTCCCTTTCTAGTTACCTTTCCTAAAATGATATCAGAGAAACATTACTTTACCATGGAAACCAATGAATGTTTCAGATTTCTATTTGTCTTTAAGAAAAGCAAATTGTTTTTTAAAGGACATCAGCACCACAGGAAGATGGGGAGAGCTACCCTCAGAACTTCATCACTACCCACTGAGAGCGCAGCAGTATCATGAACTCATTTCTAAGACCAACATTGTCTGCCTGTAAATTCTTCTAATTCTCGCTTTATTCTACTTCCCCAAACATTTGAAAATGTTATGCTTTAAAATCGTTACATAAAAGGACCGACATATATATATGTATATATATATATGTATATATATATACATATATATATATATATATATAGTATACCAATATTAGTGAGAAAATCAAAGAAACGCAGCTAGGGTATTACTATAAACATAGAGGCACTGATTTTTAAAAATACTCCAAAAGGTTGAGTTTTAGAATTATTGACGAGACAAATAGAAACAGACCTTTTAAAGCAAGTCTCAGAAAATAATTTGGGGTGGGGGTGTTCTCCTCACCCCTCTCTCCCCACCAACCAACTATCCAAAAGTATCTCAAGAAATGGAAAGATAACCTTCCTAAGAAGTCCTCAGAATGCTGAGGATATAGTTAAGTAATCTGGGGAGTTAGAAAAGTGGATGAAGACATTTAAAAAACTAAAATCAATTCGTCCTTAAATACGAAAACATGAAAAGTTAGTGAGACCACTCACCATCAGGCCGTTGGTTTATTCCAGAGTTAAAAGGAAACGTTGAAAACAGCGTTGCTCCTGTGATATCTTCCCCCATCTGTATAGCTTGACTGGGTTTTGAGGGCAAATACTTGCATTCAAAACAAAACGCAATAATACACTAGGATTTTACTTTCAAATCGTGTTACAAACTTTTCTCACTGGAGATTTATTGTACATGTGGAGGAACAGAGTTGCTTTCTTTCTTTTTCTTTTTTTTAATCATTGAAATTATTACAGATGTCCCTCCTTTTGTACCTCCACTGACCCCCTCCCCCGCCCTCACCGTACTGCTGTCTGTGTTCATTTGTTATACATACACGCATATAAGTTCGAGTCATATCTTCACCTTGCAGCTTATAGGTGTCTCTTTCAATATCTTGAGTTATCTAAACATCGGTGATATACACAGAAAAGGAAAGCTATAATCAACAAAATCCTAAACTTGACTGAATGGATAACTGTGAGCTTATTTTTAATGGTCTGTCACCTTGCAAGACAGACTTCCTTACAAGTCTGTATTCTTAAAACTTGGGGTATAAGGCACTGCCGACAGGCTCAACAGCTTTTGTAGAATAATAAAAGTACAAAGAAAAAAGTTAAAAGGCTGAGGAAGGTCCCTAGAAACAGATTAGTGCCCTGGCCAGTTTAGCTCAGCAGTTGAGCATCGGCCTGCGGACCAGAGTCCCAGGTTCGGTTCCCGCTAGGGGGCACGTACCACCAACAACAAAAAAATTAGTAACTAACTCACAATGAGAATAATCTAAGTAATCTATATAAATATGTGAGTGGCCTAAAGTTTTAAGGTCAAAGGGAAAAAGTCTTAACCACCTTTTCTTTTAGGTTATTTTTCTCGTTTTCTACCCTCTTCTCCCCATCTCTTAACCCTTACTTCCTCTTCCTTTCCACCGTGACTCTCACTTGGGATTTCTCTACCTTTTCTTGGCCTCATAAATCTCCCCCCTTCCCTAACTTAATCACTGAGGAAATGCATAGGAAAGTTTTTACAACTGTGTGATCTTGCCTTCAACTATATGCTTTTGGTTCTTACAAGCTGCGTCATAGTCTAGAAGAATATTGTAGGCAATTAGAAAATCAGTGTTCAGCCTCAGGTCTGCCTCTATCTACTTTTATGACTGCGGGCAAATACTTTTCTAAAGAAAAGAACTAAAATGTTCAATTGCAAATTTAGACATACAGCTAACTAGTATAGAATAATCAACTATAGCTGTAACAGTCTACAGTATATATAGAATAGGTACTTTTTTGTTGTTTCCACATATTACAGTGAAAAATTCAAGTAGATAAGGTTACCTAAGACATTTGCCTTCTTGTTCAGTTGTTCAAATTTTTGTTTCCCCTTTGTTTTAATTTGTTCAGGTCAGGACAGAACAGCAACATTGGCATTTACTTTGTGTGTTACTTAAGTCTCTAACGTAGAGCCCCCCAAACCCCCGACTTTTCCTTGTAATTTGTTATAAACAAAACCAAGTCATTTCTCCTGTAAAACTGCCCACATTCTATCTGGACAGTGTGGCTCAGTGGTTGAGCATCAGCCCATGTACGACCAAGAGGTCACCGGCTCGATTCCCAGTCAGGGCACATGCTCAGGTTGTGGGCCCGATCCCCAGTGGGGGGCATGCAGGAGGCGGCCAATCGATGTTCTCTCTCATCGATGATTCTATTTCTCCCTCTCTCTCTAAAATCAATAAAGAAAAAAAAAATTGCCCACATTCTGAATTTTGTTCCCTTTGTCCCATGGTGTGCTCGAACATGTTCCTTTGTGCTGTGTTTCTCATCAAGAAATTTGATCTGGGGGATAGATCAGAAGCAGGAATTTTTTCTGGCAAGACATTTCACAGGCAGTGCTGGGTCCTTTTCACTGAGTTATACTAGAATGTACATCATTAAGAATGATCAGTAAATTCAGGTCTTAATATCCTGATCCATTCATACAAAATCCCTCACCACCTTTTCAATTATTAACATTTGTAGCCATTGATAATCATTTAATTAGGAATTGCAAAATAGAAACATTTTAACATTCCTTCTGCATTTATTAACTGGAATAATTCTACATATCCCAGGTTCTTTTCCCGTCAATTATCTCATTACTTGGGGTAAGGTAGGATAAATGCTTCTTTCCCTCTCAGTTACCAGTTTTCAGAATAATTCTTCAATATCCTTCCAAAACTGACTAAATTGGTTTCTTATTGCTATTATCATTTTGAATGCGTAATTTACACATTTAATGTTACAATCCATTTTCGTTATCATGTATATTGATCATCAAATACTCCGATTATGGCCACTGGTTTAGAACCCTTGCAGTTGGGTCTTGAACTTTCTAGACAATACCAATGGTATTTAACAGCATTTCTGCTTTAGTGATATTGAGGTGTTACTGTTAACTGTTTTTTTTTTTTAATTGATTTTTTGAGAGAGAGAGGAACAGAGAGGGAGAGAAACATCGATTGGTCGCCTCCAGCATGCCCCCTACGGGGGATCAGGCCCACAACCTGGTCATGTGCCCTGACCGGAAATCAAACCAGTGAGCTTTTGGTGCATGGGTCAACGCTCAACCACCGAGCCACACCGGCCGGGCTACTGTTAATTTTTTAGATATGAAATAATACTGCGGTTTTGTTGGAGGAGAAAATGCCTACTATATAAAACACTCAACTCAAAAATCTCAGATTTTCAGCAAAATAAGCTGGAGGCAACTAGGTTGAGGTACAAAACAAGTTTGGCCACATTTTGAAGTTAGTATTAACCATGGTTACATACAATTGTTCCTCATATTATTCTTTTGTTTACATTTGAAAAATTCTATATTAAAGTTTAATACCATTTTTGTAGTAAAAGTTTAAAATGTCATGATTACAGAACATAAAACCTTAAGTCCAGCTCATGCTCACACAGATGGTTTCTGAAAATTCTATTAAAATACATGCAAGAGAAAAAACAAAAACATCTACACAACCTCACTTTCAACTCAAGAAAAATCTGGATATTTGTAGTTAAGAGATAGCCTGACAAGTGTGGTTCTTAAAGTTCTTTATTAAGAGCATTAAAGTTGCAGAAACAACTTTATATTGTAAAGGCACAGGGAAACAGTTCTGATAAAATAGTCAAATTAAACAGTAACTTACAGTACAAAAGACAACTTTAATGCACATACAAATCCCAAATGTCTGATCCAAAAATATTTTACTGCGTCTATTAATGGGCAATGATTAAAAATATAAATTGCTGCTGTATAATAAATATCTGATAGTGAATATCTTGATAGCAAAGTGAACAAAATCTTTATTGCTTTTCACATACATAATTTTCCCTGTTGAATCCCTAACTCTTCTACCATCTTCTCAACCCTTTCCAAAGATGAAAGAAACCCACGTAACCCGTGGGGGCAGCAGCTTCACAACCATCCCGGCAGCAATCACGCCGGCCGGCAGCTGTGCCCTCACTTCCGTCTGCAATCACAGTCACTGCCGAAACGTAAGAGCAGTGTTTGCTAAGCCACAGAAAGACAGCCCCTCTGTGACTGGCATTCTAAGGTTTGTAATGAGTACTCATCGAATATAGAAGGTGCTCCTCCGTTTTGAATATGTGTATTTCATTTGAAGTTTTGAGTAAGAGGCTTGAATTTCTGACAATTCATTTTACCTATTCTCCTCAAAAGTTTTCCAAAGCTGTAAAAAGTCAGCATAATAAAATTTCCAGCACTTAAATTTTTGAGGGCTAGTTGGTATACGTGATGTACTGATGTATAAAAGTAACATAATGAAATGTGTTTATAATGAAGAGATCTTACCCTTCTACCAGTTTTAAACTGGGATCATCTTTATTAAGAGCATCCTGCCCTTTTTATAGCAACCTGGTTATAGATGGTACAAGTAGAACTTCCAACACAATAATAAAATAACATGAAAGCATCATCGTAATTTAATGAATGCTATTTCAACTTCAGAAATACCTACATTAAAGTATCTGTAAAGTTACTTAACCAGGTCATGTTCAGACAGTGTGTAGCCGCTAGTAATATGCCTGGCACAGAGCTGATGTTCAATAAATAGTTGCTAAATGTATGAAACACAGAAGAAAAACCTGGCTTTGGTTGTGCATTTTAATCACTTTCTGATTAACAATAAGGTCAGTCTAGAACTAAATACTGCACACTACACCAAACTTCGCCATACACAAAAGTAATGATTTTAAACAGAAATAATACCAGTTAGTGATACTCAATATATATCAATTGTAACTTTTTTAAGTAGCCCACAAATTTTACATATTTGTTAATTTTTATCCACACACTTAAATTTTGATGTTTAACAATTGAGGAATGAAGACCAAGTTGGGCAGACTGGATATGGTGTAAATTACTAGTCCATGATTAATAAAAAGTCATGATGCCTGATTAAACTCAAATGATGACTTCTATGTTAATTTTTGCAAAACATTTCTTTGAATAATGGTAGAATCTTTAAGTTACCCATGCTGGGAAGCAGTACCTTTCAACATAATAAAATATCTAGGAAGATTTGAATTTAATAATGGCAAAGAAAGTATTGGAAGTGGGACAATAAGAATGAGTAAGTGACCAATTTTAAATTGTAACCATGGGACTAGGTCTAATATTTCTTTGGCATATGCGTTACTACCTTGGACTACTTAGCATTCTAAAAATACTGGGTTATTTTTTCTCTCAAAATTAACATCAAGGTGAAAACTATTAATACACTCTTCTTAAAGCCTTTTAAAGGAAAAAATGACATTCTGCGACATATGCCAACTCCATGTTTCGTGTGCACTCACAATCACCGGCACAGCATGATGTAACTGTTAAATAATCTTAAATGATCTCATGCAATGGTGAAACCACAGAAAGTGGAAATAAAAGTATTTACATAATGAAATATTCAGCTTTCTGAAAAAACAAGCAAGCCAGGGAACCCTGCCCTAACAGTGAACACGCACCTCACAGCACTGAAAGAAACCCGTCCGAATCTAAAGGAACGCCTACAATGACCTGAAGACATAAGACTGAATGAAAAACATAACAATGGAGAAAAAACAAACCTACACACAGGAAGGAAAAAGAGGCCTATAAAACAGGCCAATCTAACTTGACATTCAAAGTAAATGTAAGAGATTCACAAAATCATGATAGTAATGCAACCTAAGTCAAGTACCAAGTACCCTTTGATACACAATCCAATGTGACTATCAGATTCATTTCCAATAGCTTAACCATATTCATTAATGCACTCAGGCATTCAAGGGGGCAAGAAGTCAATATAGCTCAAGTTTCCAAAGTGTAAGAAAAACTTATTTGCAGAATCGTATGGTGTTTGAAGTCATGTCTTACTTTGATGGATGTTAACATAAGACGTATCAGTGCACGTTGATCATCCTCCGAACGCAGTGCTTCCGGATTCTTCTCTCTCGCGGTCTGGTGCTGAGCACTGGCCCGCGCTGGGTGAATCCGCACAGGGCGCTCACGTGGACTACCTCACGTTGCTACTGAGCTGTGCCAGGTACTCGCGCAGCTCCTTGGCCGCCTGGAAGCGGCCGTAGCGCTGCTTCGGGTTGGCGCACTCATCCAGCAAGGCCTCCAGCCGGCCGTCTTTGGCAATGTCACTCGGCGGATCGTGAAGGAGCCCCCCGGAAGTGCCGCGCCAGGTGGCGTGTCTGGACAGGAGGTTCTGACAAACAGCATAATAATTGTGGTCCACAGTGGCACGAGCACAAAGAATTTCTTTTGAAAATGATAAGCAAGCCTCCTTATCACAGTCATCAAATTTGCTTTCATACCATACATCCCAATTTTCAGGTTTATCTGTAAAAGGATTTAAGCACAAAGAGAAAAATGCATTTTTAGAGTTTTTATTGCTTCCCAAAATATGACAATTCACTAATTAACATAGTATCATTTGTTCTTAAAACTGTATAATAACTTTAAACATTCAAATAGATTAGTTTATATACAGAGATGTGTTGGGAGCACACCAGTGCCCGGCCCGGGCCCAGACAAGGTGTCTACACTGCAGGTTCAGTGTGGAGGGAATCTTCCATCACACGAAGTGACAACAGCATATGGCACAAGGAAACGAGGGAGCACTGCTTCCTGGTGCTGCAGAAGGTTGCAAAGAGAACATCTGATGTAGGCCTTAAAATATAAGCAAGCCTGAAGAAATAAAAAAGGCAGATCAGCATTCCAGGCCCCGGTACAGCGTGCGCTAAGGCACGGGCCTCCGGGACTGGTCCAACCAGTCAGTCAGTGTGAGACAGGTGCTGGGGAGGAGGTACAGACGAGGCTAGTGAAATATGTGATACCTTGAGTGTCACTTGTTTTACAGAAGGATAACTCTACGCTGAAGACTGGAGGGACTAACATGATGACAACTCAAGGAGGTCCAGATAGAAAGAAAGAAAAATTGTAGAAACAGTTGAGACTAAAATTAACTAGTAAGTGTATGAGTCAAGTTTAAGGGTCTAATGAGATGACACGGTGGACACTATTAACGTAAGAGTCAGTATTTTACATATGTATGATGACAGTAAATGTGGAGCGGCTGTGAGATACTCAGGTGCACCTGTGATATGTGCAACCAGAAACAGACTGCAGACCCACGAGCGAAGCAGAGGTGCAGCACACATCTTTATATGCAACAGCACTAGGCTTGATGGAGCCAAGAGAATAGCTTAACTGTACTGAAAAACATGTTGAAAGCAAAGAGGGAAAAAGACTGAGGGGAGAACCTTAAAACTGAAGAGGCTGCCAGAGGAGAGGTGAAGGAAAGAAACTCATTCATCCAGCAAGTAATTATTTGATGCCTCCCCTATGGCAGGCAAGGGGTCTAGTGGGAAACAACAAAGAATATGCATGCTTCCTATCTTCACTGGCTTATAATCGAGAGCATGAAATAAAAACTAGGTAAGTAAATACACATCGTCTATCACAAATTGTGGGAAATGCTACGAAGGCAACAGGAGTGTCTATCACAGAAAGGTCCGTGAAGGAAACGCCCTGGTCCACTGCGGGGCGTGGTGGGCAGCTCCGCTCAGAGCGCACACTCAAGCAAGGTTTGCAGGGCACGCACCGCAGCGTGGAAGACAGAAAACTCCTCGTGGGGAACCCAGAAGTGCAAAGGTTCGTGCAAGAAGTGCAAAGGTTCGTGCAAGAAACCAAAAGGCCACTTTGGCTGAGGCACTGCGGACAACAATGGACAGAGGAATATTAAAAATGAAGCAGAATGGGGTCAGGTCACACAGATTATGCCCTGGGGAGAAGTGGGAAGTTTACTGGAAGAACAATGGGAAGTCATTAAAAATATTAAGCAAGAGTGACAAGACCAGATTCATGTTTTTAAAAAAGAATAGTGCAAGTAGAAGGAAAGCAAAGAAGTGAAGAACTTCAGGAAGTTGTTACTAATCAGTGACGTCAAGAACTGGCCATTAGGTGGTTGCTACTGGGGATGCAGACTTCTCAATGAGGTTTTCATGGCTGAGAAATGAATGGGGACCCAAGAAGCAGAGACAGACAGATTTTAAAAGCAGTTGAAAAGCAACACACCTGCTTATGGGAAGGTAAGAGAGATAATTTTGAGGAGGAGGGTGGGAAGTTAAAGAACACAACTGGTGCCACGGCTCCCAGCAAGGAGGCTTGCTCCACGTGTCCGAAGAGGGATGGGCCTGTACGATTTAGCACATGAAAGGAAGAACGCTGGCCCTGGCCAGTTTGGCTCAGTGGTTGGAGCTTCAGCCTGCGGTCCGGAGAGACCCGGGTTCGGTTCCCGCTAAGGGCATGTACCTCGGTTGCAGTTTGTCCCTGGCCCTGGTTGGTCGTGCGGGTGGCAGCCACTCGATGTGTCCCTTCGTGTCGATGTTTCTCTCTCTGTCTCCCTTCTTTTCTCTCCCTCCCACTCTATCTGTACAAAAAATGAAAAAATGTCCTCGGGTGAGGATAAAAAAAAAAAAAAAAAGAAAGGAAGAACGCTGAAGGATGTGTCACACTAAAACCTCCATTTCCCTACGAAGAACAAAAATAAAAGTCATTTACCAGAAAACGTTTAGAAAAGAGGGTGAATGAATAGATACGGCCTTTTGCAAAGTGGCAGTTTAGACGGCGACCAAGAGCCATCTGAAAAGAGCTGGGCAGAGCTAAGGCAGCACAGGAGCAATGGTCTTTGCATGAAATGCAAGAATAGAGATGCTCGTGTTGTGCTCATTCCAAGGCAGGAACTAACTGGTATAAAATTATAACATGTATACCAGGAATGTCCACATCAAGAAAACTATTATTATTATTATTATTGTTTTAATCCTCACCTGAGGATATTCTTCCATTTATCTTCAGAAAGAGTAGGAGGGAGGGAGAGAGAAGGGGAGAGAAGGAGAGAGAAACAGTGATGTGAGAGGGACACACCGACTGGCTACCTTCCTTCCGCACAACCTGGATCTGGGCTGGGCGACCACAACTGAGGTACGTGCCCTTGACCACAACTGAACCAGTGACTCATTGGTCTGCAGGCTGACGCTCTAACAGCTGAATCAAACCAGCCAGGGCAAAAAAAATTATTTTAAAAATGTTTTAGCCCTGGCTCTTGTGGCTCATTTGTTTGGAGTACTGCCCCGTACACTACAAGGTGGGCTGAGTCCAGCCGGGGCATGTGCCCAGGCCGAGGGCTCGTGCCATCTCCAGGGCATGCGCGCCAGGTAACTGATCATATTTCCTTCTCACGGAGATGTTTCTCTCTCTCTCTCTCCCTGGCTCTCTCTAGAATCAATTGAAAAGAATTTTTTTACAAACACTGGAATGAATATTTTCAGAGTTTAGTCCCGTTGCACACTCAAACCACTGCACAGCGTGAACCAAGAGCAGCGAGGTCAGCTGCGGCCCCTCCCCAGAGCAGGGGGGGGTGGCAGGAAGCGCTCCGGCCTGAGGACCTGCAGGGCCGGCAGGACACCCAGAGCAGTCAGGTGAGTGGAATCCGAACGAGGCCGGGGAAAACCGAGCCGTGTTTAACAGGATGGAGCGAGGACCAGGCAGAATGCCAACTCACTAGACTGCTGACACTCACGCACCCCCAAGTGCCACGAACGTCGGTCTGCACTGGCCGGTCCTCACGGGAAGGGAAGGAAGGGAATTAAAAATATAAGACTCCCACCACGAAGCAACCACCTCCAGTTTCTCTCTACTAGGTAGGTCACAGAACTATAGGCTTTAAAACTACTATGGCATTTAACTGTACGTACATTTCAGACACTCTGCCCGCCTACAGTGCGAAGAGCTCACAAATAAATGGAGACTAAAGTTTTGGGTGAGGTGTAATAATGTCAAACAAAAGCTAGAGATTTACAGTGCTAATAAAAAGATTAAAAAAAACCTCACGCCAGGGACCCCCAGAACGATGGGCACAGACCACCGGGGAAGAAGGGGGCCTCCGAGGGCGGCAGCCTCTCTGGCAGCCGTAACCAGTACAAACGACGCAAGTCACATTCGAGCCCTAATCCACAGAGGACAGCAGCAGACTGTGGACAAGACGTGTGTACTTACACCCTCAGAGTAGACCTGTGTCTCACTGAACCAAAAGGATATTCTACTAAATACGGAGAATCTGTGACTAAGAATACATATATAACAAATCAGTATTTATTTACTGATGCTGGTCAAATAAAACAAAGAAAAATGCAAGGTTGCCATCTAAGAGAAAATGAAAGATATATCGCTTCATATAAATGTAAGCATGATTCTGACATAGAAAAAAATGTGTACAAAAACAAATCTAAAAGTTACATACTTACTTTGTCTAATTAACCTTTTGTCGGCAACCAGCACGTTTTCGGCATCCACGATGATCACCTTCCCATCTCTGGGACCGACCGCGAAGTTGTCGAAGCTGACGTCCAGCAGGTAGAGCGCGAACTCGAAGTCGTTGTTGGTGAGCTGCTCTGCTATCTCCATCAGCTGCCAAGCGAGGTCCACGCGCTTCTCCCACGGTGCATTGAAGTAGCTCCACAGCTCTTCGCCGACGTAATTCACAGCTACCATTCTTCCACAGGCGCCGAGGTACTTGGCGAATGGCCAGCCTTCATCGGACGGAAAGCTCTATGGAAGGAATATCTTAATGTCACGAGAGAGTCTGATGACGATACCCTAGGTCGTCTCTAGAGCCTCTCAGGAGATCGCTACTTGGCACAAGCTTGGATTTTCTTGTTGAAGTTAAGAGTTCAACAGAGAGAAACTTAATTTCTTTCCTAACTCATACCTTTACTATGGATCAGAAAAAAATACTTTTTAGATAGATAACTTTACATTAGAAAGCTAAGAATAAGTATTGCTTATTAGAATCTCAGAACCAAACTGACCAACCAACAAGAGACACTTTCTTCATTACCAAATCTAAAAGTATTTATGTTCCCTTTATTGTGTAAGGACAACCAACCAATCCTTTCTTTTGAATGAACAGCACTGCAGGCCTATGAGCATGTGTTTACCAGGCCCTGTGCTGCACTGGCTACAAGAGTGAACTAAACAGATTTTCTAAAATAAAGTCTTTAGAAGAGAGGACAGATACCAAACAAATATTTATAAATGTAAGTGTTAGTTACTAAAAATGGTCCAGGTCCTAGGGGTATCCAGGGGATTCTGGAGGTGTCTTTTAACCTACCCTCAATGACTGGCAAATTCCTATCAATGCAACCCCCACTCCAAGTCCCTTTGGTCCCAAGTTACTCTTCTTTCACCTTTAGCCCAACGTCGAAATTATTCTATCTTAGCAAGGTTCTCTAACAGATTTTATAACTGCTGGGAGGATTAATATCTAAAACAAAAATCTTCCATGACCACGAACTTTCCAGTGCTAAGCCCACCTATAAAGGATGAGAAGTAATATTTTAAAGAACTTCTTGGGAGATCATATGACCAGAGGAGGTGTGTTTTAAGAGTCATTCCTTCAGCCTAGCACCTTCCTTAAATTGGGGGCGGGGAGGACATTCTGAGAACATTTATACCAATGCTGCAAGGGAAACAAAGCAGAACTCTACAGAACAGAAACACGCCTACTCCTGCTGATGAAAATTAGTATGTTAGGAGAGGTGGAGATGGAGGCTCTTCTTGTACTTCTTAAGAAAATAAATAATATTAATTTTACCTCCAACTTTTATACAACTGTCAAAATTGAATGGTCTTAAAATTTTTATCAACTTTAAAACAAAAAGATTTTAAAAACTCAACTGCGTCCAAATAATTATTTTCATTTGTGTTTCCTTTCCATTCTAGCATTACACAACTACTTGTCTGTATATATAACTTCAGTTTTAATTTTAATATCTTCATTTTTGTGATAAAATACTAATTATATAAATTAAAAATTTAGTATGAATCTTCTAATATAGTAAGCGAATTGATTGAATTTTAGTCAGAGAAAATAGGTACTGATTCTTTAGAAAGTAGGAGAAAGCAGATTTTAGAAATCTTGTACCTGAAAATGTGCTTTCTTTTGGGCACTGGGAAAGTGACCGACTGCCCCCTGGCCAATGTGAATGCAAAACCTGTGTGCTAACCACGTTATTTTCAATTTTTCCTCCAAAGTTAAATTACCTACACGACCTTGAAACTTTAGTTAGATAGTATGTTTACAAAAGATTTAACTGTTTCCCAGAAGTATTCACGTATAAAAGTTACTGGCATAAAAAGTAAAATCATAAAAATAAGCAAATGTGTGAGATTATATAGCTTTAACATGCAAAAAGTAAAACAAAACATCTTCCATACAATTTTGGCATATTATTCCCATGCCATGTTGTGAAACAGATACACACGTATCTCTGTGAAAATAAAGTGTCTTTGACAACAGGAGCAAAGGGAACCCTGCCAGCATCTGCACATGTACAAATGTCTCCTTGTTTTGGAGCTTTTCCAACTGACAAAAAAGAGTCAAATATACACTTCATTACCCGAGTCCCACATAGAGAGGGTGAAATACGTGACTAAACGTCACACCGAGCAACCTGATATTCGGACAGCGATTTCCGACAATGGTAACTGAAATCCTGGTATGCCTCATTTCAAGAACACAATTCTTCCATACAGTCTGCTACCTAAATCTTTTGGAAGAACTTTAATAAATGAATTTGCACTACTTGCTCTTGTGACAAGAATTTTTCATTGTACAATCAAAATTGTCAGATTTCATTAATGAGAACAAAATTCTATTCGACACATTGCATGTAGTGCAATGAAAATGCTCAAAAGAAGCCAACATAAGTATACCTATATTTAAAATAATCCTGGCTTAGCACTGGCTGGGTGGCTCAGTTGGATGGAGCGTCATCCTGTACACCAAAAGGCTGCGGGTTTGATTCCTAATCAGGGCACACACCTAGGCCGCGGGTCTGATTCCTGGTCAGGGCACACACCTAGGCCGCGGGTCTGATTCCTGGTCAGGGCACACACCTAGGCCGCGGGTCTGATTCCTGGTCAGGGCACACACCTAGGCCGCGGGTCTGATTCCTGGTCAGGGCACACACCCAGGCTGAGGGATTGATTCTGGGTCGGGGCGCGTATAGAAGGCAACCTACTGATGATGTTTCTCTGTCACATCAATGTTTCTCTCCTCACCCTTCCTCTCTCTCAAAAATCAATAAAACAAATCCTCAGGTGAGGAGTGAAAAAAAAAAGGCAATCCTGACTTAGAACCATAATTAGTCAAACAGTCTGAGAGACAAAATTTTAAGACATTATGGCTTGGATTTCTTACGTATATCAAACAATAAGAAACACTACTTCTTACTTCCTTATCAAATTCCCACAGTGTATAAAATATAGTAGCTAGTATAAGAAGTTTACTGCTGAGGTCCACACCTCATAAATTTTAAACCAAATCTTAAAATCAGATTTTCAAATTGGCTAGAACAACAGGTACATCGTTTAAAGTAATCTGAAATAAAATGTACCTTAATGAATTATTTACAATTGAAAAAATGTGTACAAATACTTTTCAATCAGGAAGGACTTTTTAAATGTGGAATGATTTAAATTATAATTAGATTAGAGGCACTCTAAATAATTGTTCAGAGTTTTTCATCAGGCTTGAATGTATGGCATGAAGTAAAGTTTTTAAAGCTAAATTATTTAAGACCGTACAACTGCACGAAACAGTTACAATATTGCTGTATTTTAAAAGAAAATGTCTATTGAGTATTACTTCCAATGTTAATATTAAAAATGGATATTTAACTATTAAGCTAAACATGATTAACTGCTAAGATTTAAAGAAATATTAAATGCCTTTACTGCTAATTTACAAAATAAAAAGTATTTTGAAGATGAAACATAAGATAAATCACCATGTCTAGGTATCACTTTTTTTTTTTAATCCTTACTGAGGACATTTTTGCATGTATCTTCAGATAGAGCAGGAGGGACAGAGGGAGGAAGAGAAAGAGAGAAACATCGATGTGAGAGAGAGACATCGAGTGGCTGCCACACACACGACCAACCAGGGCCGGGGACAAACTGCAACCGAGGCTCGTGCCCTTAGCGGGAACCGAACCCGGGACACTCCAGTCCTCCAGCCAATGCTCTAACCGCTGAGCCAACCCGGTCAGGGCGGCATAACTTTTTTTTAAAACAGAAAACTGTAAGTTAATTCTTGGATATCATAAAACTCAAATATTATTAATAACAGTATTGTATGTAATATAACAGTAGCTTAAAATCAAGGTTCCAGAAACAAACAAAACTACTACGGTCATCTTTCATTTTAAGAGAAAATAAAATGTCTATAATCAAGATAAAATTTATTTTATATTCTTCATGGCATATAATATAAAATTTTATATTTAAAGGACAATATTGTATATAAGTAGAATAATGAACTTAAAAATCAAAAGGCTATTTTTAGGTCCACCTTCACCTCTGCATCTCACTGGCTATGTGACCCTGGCAAAGCCGAAACTTCATCTAGCTTTAGCATCTTCCTCTGTAAAACCGGAATAACTCTTGTACCAACATATTCATCAGGCAATACAAGGATCAAAGAAAAAGAAAGTATGAAATGTTCTATGTAGATTTAATACTACTTAAATACATCTTCACCATCCTGTACAGTTGCTCATTTACAGTAGGATATAGAAGTCAGTTACTATACTTTAAAAACACTCAGTGCTCTGAGAAATATATAAGGCAATCACAAGTACTAAAAATACGATATTCAAAATGGTAACATGTATACACATAAATACAGTATTGTAATTTGTTTTTCACTGAATAAGCAACACAAAGTAAATTCTAAATGTCGAAGTCGCCTATCACCTCCCTATTAATTAAAAACCCATAATCCTGTTCATGTGATCAATGAAGAGGATGTGAAATCTAACTCTAGAGTTGGAGTGTACCTGAGCTGTACCCCTAGTCAATCTTACCAGCAGTTTAAGTGATCTGCCTAAACTCACACAGGGAGCCAGGGACAGAGTCAGGCTAGAGAGCCCCAGTCCAGGATCCCTGTTTCAGAGGTGAGGGCTCCGACTGGGGAAGCCAACAGTGCACGCTTCTCATACTCGTACACGCAACGCAACGCCTCCAGTGGTCTGGGCAGAACCTCACAAAACACATAGCTGCAAAAATAAGGTAAGAAGTTTGTTCATCCTAAGTGAGATAAAGCACATAAATTACCTTACGTGTTTTTACATTTATTGTTTTTGTTTCTTTAATGTGACAAAACCTATTTTCCACAGGGTTTTAAATCTGGAATTGCTGATAAGGGGCTGGAGGGTAACCCACATTTCCCCGACTACTATACGCAGCTGGGGTAAAAAGCAGTGAGAGAGTTGCTGTGGAATGAAAGAAAATATTTTGAATAAAAAAACCCTAGATCCAGCCTAACTTCACATAAAATGCTAAATAAACAGTTGTAAATAAAATACAGTTCTTATTCTCAGGAAGCCTTTTTAGCTGAGTTGGGAGGATGGTTATCAAACATACAAAAGTATAAGTAACGGAATTTGTTACAAATTGCCGAAAAGTAGAGTGTATCAAAGAAGAGTGAAGCCCTGTCTCCGGCTGTGTGCTGAGGGCACCCCCGGGGTGTACTGGAGGTCCAGGGC